CCATGTTGGCCACGGTGGTCTCGAACTCCTGACTTCAGGTGATCCGCCCATCTCAGTCTCCCAAAGTGCTAGGATTATAGGCATGACCCACTGTGACCAGCCGATAAAGTATAGACTTCAGCTAACAATAATGTATCAATATTGGTTTATTAATTGTATAAATGTACTGTATTAATGTGAGATATTAATAATAGGGAAATGGGGGTGCTGCAGTGGCATGTGTCTGTAGTCCTAGTTACTTGATAGGCTGAGGCGGGAGGATCATTGAGCTCAGTTCCAGACCAGCATGGGCAACACAGTGAAACTCTGCTCCACTATCTCCCCTACAAAAAACCCCAGGGAAAGGGGATTTTTTCCCATTATATGGGAACTCTCTGTACTATCTGCATGATTTTTCTATAAATATAAAACTATGCTAATACAAAAAGTTTACTTTTAAATAAACTACATTGAGATATCATTTCTCACTTTTTGAACTACTGGAAAGAATTTCAGTTGGCAAAAACTTCAACCAGTCAGTGAGGGTGAAACAGGAACTCTGATACATTGCTATGAAAATGTAAATTGGAATGATGCCTATGGAGGAGATCTGGGAAATACCTAGCAATATTACATAAAGATTTACTGTTTGGCCAGCTTTAAAAATAGACTTTAAAAAGGAAGGGGGGCATTCCGTTCTAAGGCCTCTGTGTGCCCGCGGAGTAGCCATCATGAGCAAAGCTCACCCTCCCGAGTTGAAAAAAATTATGGACAAGAAGTTATCATTGAAATTAAATGGTGGCAGACACATCCAAGGAATATTGCAGGGATTTGATCCCTTTATGAATCTTGTGATAGATGAATGTGTGGAGATGGCGACTAGCGGACAACAGAACACTATTGGAATGGTGGTAATATGAGGAAATAGTATCATCATGTTAGAAGCCTTGGAACGAGTATAAATAATGGCTGTTCAGTGGAGAAACCCATGTCCTCTCTCCATAGGGCCTGTTTTACTATGATGTAAAAATTAGGTCATGTACATTTTCATATTAGGCTTTTTGCTAAATAAACTTTTGTAATAGTCAAAAATGTTTTCTCAGATGTTCTGAATATAGAATATTAGCTCTCATTCCGATTTTTTCTGACATGAATTTTCCTGGTTGACACTGATTTAAAAGGGTTTTATGCATTAAAGTAGACTAATCTTGTTAAAAAAAAAATTGATAGGGCCTT